GTGTATGTATCTTTTTGAATTAGAGTTCCCTCCAGATATATGCCCAGAAGTGGGACTGCTGGATCATATGGTAAGTCTATTTTCAGTTTTTTGAGAAATTTTCATACTGTTTTCCAAAATGGCTGTACCAAACTACAATCCCACTAGCAATGTAGGATGGTCCCCTTTTCTTCACACCCTCTCCAGCATTTATCATTTGTGGACTTTTGAATGATGACCATTCTGACTGGTGTGAGATGATACCTCATTATAGTTTTGATTTGCATTTCTCTGAAAATTAGCAATATTGAGTATTCAAAAGTAATCTTTATTATATAGTTCTCACACAAACCTAGCCCTCCAATATTCCTCATCTCTATGAACAGAGGCACCCTCACCCAGTTACCAAAGTTTGAGACCTGGGAGCTACCTTAGGTTTCTCCCACCCCTGTCTTCCTGCATCCAATCACTAAGGGAGTCCTATCAACTTAACCACCTTAATGTCCTTTAGATCTGCTCCTTTCTCCTCTTTCCTTTTTCTCCAGCCTTCTTTCCTCACCAAACTCCTATTGTAACCTTACTCTTTTCTCCCTGACTCCAGACTCGCCTCCCTTCCATGTGGCTGCTAGAGTGATCTTTAAAATTAAAACACTGTTTATATCACTGACTTGAGATCCTTTAATGGCCCTCAGTGCCTCCAAGATGAAGTCCAAAGTCTTTGGTATACCCATAAGGTGTATAGGAGCTACTCCTTACCCACCTGTCCAGCAACTTCTCTTGCTGTAGCATCCATTTCCAGATTTGTTGAACCAGGAGCAGATCCCCAGACACAGGAGGCATTTTCATACCCCCTTACATTTCTTGCTGCTGTTCCCTTTATTTAGAAGAGCTTTACCGGTCTTGTCTAATTTGTCAACATCTTATTTTTTTAAGGGTATGCAAGCTTTATCTCCTCTACAAACCTTTCCTAACTTCCTACAAAGCCCATCCCATCCTTTATCACAGAACGAATATCCCCTAACTCCTCTGTAAGTATGTAACTTACACTACGGTGCTTCGAGAATATTCTTGCTTTGTTTGAAAACAGACTCTAGCAGACTTTAGTCACTATCCTTTGCAGACTTTCAGCTACTTGAAAGCAAGGACTGTACCTAATTTATCTCTGCATCTCAAGGCCTGAGTCCATGCCCAGCACACGGTAAACAACAACAAAGTTTGTTGAATGAGAAGCAGGGAGTGGAGGAGAAAAAGATTTTCAAAAACATACTTTTAGGCTATGAAGTGATGACTCTGTCCATAAGATCTTCCAACCAGCTCCCACTGCAGTGTTATACAAAGTTTGTGTTCTTACTTGCTACAGTTGAGAAACCATGTGTGTCTACCAGTCAGACCATACTGGTTTTTGGAGAAATTCCAGTTATACAAAACCATGATTCAATTTCCTCACCACTTTTACTGACGATGGTTTTAAATTGTTTTGTTTTGTTTTTTTCCCAAGAGGAAATGGTCCCTTAATGAGTCAGCTGGACGTTGTCAAGGTAGAAGATCATACCAATCTGACAGTTTCCATTTGACTTTATTTACTCATTCAGCCAAAATTTATCACAAAGAAACAAACAGAAGATATAGTTCCTGTCCTAAATCCACAAAATAGGCAGTTTCAGGAATCTTTGTCTATTTTATTTCACTTTATTAGTCCAACAAGATTTACTGACCACTGATCTGTGAAACAGCATCCATGCTGGGCCAACATAACAGGAAGACAAATGAGATACAGGCCCAGCTCTCAAAAAGCTTAAAGTCTGGTATGTGACAGATATGGAATTACAATGCAACAGGAGAGGAGCTAAAATAGAGGAACTGGGGGCATGGAAATAGCTCAGTGGTAAAGCACATGCTTAGCATGCATGAGGTCCTGGGTTCAATCCCCAGTTCCTCCATTAAAAAAATAATCCTGGGCAGGATTTGAACTCAGACTTGTTTAATTCCACCTATGTGCTTACAACAGTGAAATATATATATCATGCATGTAACAATACAATTCTTTTCCCTGAAATAAGGGAAGCTAATTGGATTATTAATATAATCCAGATTATTATTCTTAATAAGGAGAGCGATTCCTAGGGACTTTCCCTTCCTTCTTGGGTCTCAGGAGGCCAACCTCTAATCGAACTATCAATCTGAGCAGGCTTTTTGGTGGGGAGAGGGAACACCAAAAGTTCTGCCATAACCTTCTATCATTATCTGAAAAAACTTCAACCTTGGGTAAATCCAAAAATAAAACTTCTTCACCACCCATATAATCATGCTGATTAGTCTCTTTTTCATTAATTGTCTCCAACTCAAATGAGCATTCATTGCCCAGCAATAGTATGTCTTTTCCTAGCAAGCTAGCTCATTTTCCTGCTCTTAGAGAATACTATTTCATACCATTTCCTCAGTCCTCCAACCCTCCCTGACAAAATCTCATCCCATGTCCATCCCATTGTTCTCCCTTCTCTTGTACCAACAATTTCCATCTTTTCACTAGATCATTCCTTGCAATTTAGAAATATCCCCTAGGACCCATCTTTTAAAACATCAAAAATAAAAAGCAAAAACCCCTCTTTTTAACCCATATCTGCCTCCAGTTACCACTCGACTTCTCTGCTTTCCTTCTCAGTTAAACCTTTGGAAAGAGTTGGCTTTGTCACAGTCTCCATTTCTCCACCTTTACCACTCAATCATCTCCATCCACCATGCCACTGAAACTGACAGTATAGGTCACTAGTGATCTCCATGTTGCCAAATGCATGATCTTTTACTTCATCCTCAGCCTCTCAACAGCCTTTGAAAAAGCTGATCACTACCTTCTTCCTGAAACTTTCATCTGGTTGCCATGACACCACCTTCCTTGTCTGCCTGCCTCACTAGTTGCTTCTTCCCCAACTTCTGTTTTGTAAGTATATTCTTTTCTACCAGATCCCTAAACGCTGGAGTACTCTAAGGGTCCCCTTAGTTGTGTTTTGGTCCCCTCCTCTTCCCTATTCACACAGTCTCTCTAAGTGATCACATTTATGATCATGCTTTTAGATACGGGTTTTCACCACTTACCTAGGGACTGGGTTCTAAACTCAGCTCATTTAAAAATACTCATGAAATGGAATTTATTCTTGGAAATTCCTTTAATCACCCATAAACTATGGAAGTTGTGGTTCTGGACATGTTGATTTTATGCATGATTGTGGCCATATTGATGTGCCAGATTGAAGACCAACATTCCATTTCCTAAAAAACTCAAGTCAATTTTTTTTCTCCTATGTTGAGATAATTTTTTTTTATTTAGCAGTAAATGAAGTACTTGGGGCTTTCACTTAGGGGGTTATGTTTCATGAAAAATACTTGTTTTTAAAGAGGAGACATAATTGGAAAAGCAAGATGCTCGTGCTGTAAGAGGGAATTAGGAACTGAATCCATCTGAGGATATAGCAGATTCATATCCTTTATCTCATCCTCATTCAACACGTGCTTTCCTTCAGGGTAAAGGGATCACATAATTTAAAGTATTTCTCACACTCTTTGGTTGAATATGCACAACTCAATTTTCATAAATTAAATGCTTATTTGATATGGTAGCACTTATATATTGATGGCTTCTACATTTATTTTTCTAACCCTGACCTGTTCCCCTGAGCTTCAGACTTATGCAATCAACTACCTACTTGGATGGCTACACTTAAAATCAACGAGGCATATTAACATGTCCAAAACATAACAAGTGATTCCACCCCCTATGCCTCATCCTCACCAAAAAAAGGGATGCTCTTCCCTCAGTCTCTCCTAGCTCAGTAAATGGCATGCCATCTACCCAGGGTTTCAAACCATAAACCTAGTAGTGAGTCCTCCCTTCTCACTTCCACATGAAACTCATCAGGTGCATTTAGATCTACCTCCAAAATAGACCCCAAATCTATCTGTTTTACCCCATCAGCACAGATACCACCCTTGTCCAAGGCACCATCATCATTTCTATTTTGACTGATTTCCTGTTTCCACTCTTACCCTTTCTATGCTCCAAATAGCCAGAGTAATCTTTTATAAAGCATTTCCTCATTAATTCATCAAATATTTATGGAGAGCACATAGGAACTGAGGATACAGCTGTGAAGCAAATTAAGTCTCTTCTGCAGTGTGTAAGTAACTTTGTACAGTACAAATACAATAAAGAAAATAAATATAAAATGTGATAAACGAAATCATGTTGCACTCTCAGTTAAAAAAAAATTGAATAGCTTCCTAATGTGCTCAGATTAAAATCCAAATTCCTTACTATGACCTTGTTATAAGAGTCTGAGAGATCTGGTTTTCATTTGTCCTTTCAACCTTGTCTGTATCACACTTCCTCACTGCAACTTGGCTCCAGTCACCCTGGCCTTTTATTTCCTCAAGGTTCCAAACCCTTTCCTCCTTCAGGCGTGTGTTTTCTGTATCTGGAATGCTGTTCCCCATACCAGGAAAGGGCTGCCTCCTCTTAGATCAGTTATCACTTCATCAGAATGAACCTGACTAATCTACCAAAAAGTACCTCCTCTTCCCCTTCTCTATCAATTACACTGTTTTATTTGTTTCATAGCACTTTGCTCTTTCAGAAATTATCCTGCTTATTAACAATATCTTCTGTCCTCACTAAAATGTAAGTTTCCTGAGGTGAAATTCCTGGGGTGTTGTTTACCAAACGATCCGTACAAGTCTGGAACAGTGATCAGCATAAGACGGTCTTGAATATTTTTTTAAAGAACAAATAAATGACGACGGACTACGACAACAGAACTGCCTCGACTCTCACAGCCGCCAGGCTCCGCCCCCCCGAGGCACTTCCGCCCACAGTTTGGCCCCAGACCTTCTGGAAGAGGAAGTCCTCTGCGCAGGCGCCTGGGACCGCGGAGCTTTCTGGGTAAAGATGGACGCTCACGATCTGTTTCGCCGGCTCGGCGCGGGGGCCAAATTCAACGTGAGACGCTTCTCGGCGGACGCAGCCCGATTCCAGGTATTGTGTGCAGACTGTGAGAAGCCCGAGTAACTGAGAAGGGGCAGGAGCTGGGGAGGGAATCGGCTGCTGGGGGAGCCAGTGCTCAGCGATCCCGTGGCCTGGCTGTGGGGCATTTTCCCTCCTTTGGCTTTCAGCTTACCGCAGCCTTCTGAATGAACTCTTCCCCCATCCTTCTGTAGACTTAGTTGGATCTAGCATGGAAACATTTACCCTGCTCCCCACCCTCGGCCCCGCTTCCGAGTTTATTCAAAGAACAGGTAGACTCCTTCTTTCAAAAGTAACCTTTTTTCCGAAAGTGGTGGAAAGGAATTTCAAAGACAACCCAAAACGGAGAGAGTTTCTTTAACTACAGCTTCCCCAGATTTGTCTTGGCATGGGTGTAGCTTTAGTGGGCATGGTTCTTTTTATTCCCGCAACTCCACGCCCTGTTAAGTAACCACGGAGAAGACCGATTTAGAGATGGGAGATCTTACATTGGAAATTAGTGAATGATATATCTGGAGTATTTGGGGCCTAATTGTGGAAAATCTTGACTATCAACCTTGATAGTGGGACTAGAGGCATTTTTGTGTGTGTGCAACACGTGTGTTTTTTCTTTCTCTGACGGTATAGTGCAGTTATTAAGAGTTTGAACTGTGGAACCAGATTATTCAGGTTCAAATCCTGGAGCTTCCAGTTACTAATTTTGAGACCTTGGTCAAGTTACTTAACCTTTTAGTACCTCGATTGTCTCGTCTGTAATATTACTATTTGCCTCGTTAGAGTTGTTGAAGGATGAAGTAATTTAATGTATCTAAACATGCTTGGAAATCTACCTGACAGTATGTGCTATGCTGATAAGTCTATATAAGTGTTGGTTGCTATTATGATTATTATTATTACTGTTATCAGATCAGAAAAGGTATCACCTTGGACTCCGTATGCCCAAACATACTTGTCAGCTCACCAAAAACTTGGTGAAAGAATAAAAAAGATGGGGAGTCATTGGACCCACATCCTTACTGCCAATACTGCTAAGGTGAAAACAGTGCTAGTCTGTCCACAGATTTAATTTAAAATTTTTTGGGTTTTAGATAGGGAAAAGGAAATATGACTTTGGTTCTTCAGAGGTGCTGCAGGGACTGGACTTTTTTGGAAACAAGTCTGTCCCAGGTGATTGTGGAGCATCGAAAACTCATCAGGAGCTACAAGATGAAGAGAAAAAAGAAGAGAGCCTAACTGAAAGGAAGAGGGAGCAGAACAAAAAAAGAGGAAGAAGATGACTTCAGGTTAGTGCTTGGCTTATTTTTTTTCTCTTTATTTAATTTTTGTTCAATTAGAAAAATACAGTATGGTTACACACATAATGTACGGCCATTTGTCAGTTGATGGCATTCAGGTTGCTTCCAGGTATTTGTGATTATAAATATTGCTACAATAAAGATACTTGTACATACATCTTTTTGTACAGCTGCTATTGTTTCTGTAATTAGCATCCCAAAAGTAGACTCACTGGATGAAAGGGTCTGCACATTTCTTTCTTTGAACAGATAACTGCAAAATGACTTCACACAGCCATGTTGATGCTGGGTAATAATTTTTTTTTTGCCAATCTAATGAGTGAAACTATTTTTTATTTATATTTTCTTGATAACTGGTAAGGTAGAACATCTTCTTGTATGCTTTACTGGATATTTACATTTCAAGTTTGTGAATTGTTTGTTTTCACTCTGCCTATTTTTCACAAGGTTTTTTCCTGTACTCGACTGTAGGGGTATTTATCTTTTTCGTTGTCTGTTACACCTATTGAGTTTACTAGCCATTTTTACCTTTTTAATAAAGCAACTAATTACACTTTTTAAAAATTATACAATGATGAAAAGTAAATTTTCTTCCCATTCTTTTATCTCTAGTCCCCTGTTTCTCCAGAGGCAACCACTGTTAATCAATTTCTTATGTATTTTTGTAGAGATAGTCTATTCACATGTATTTATACCCCCTTTAAAAAAGACATGAATGATAGTGTACTTTATATGCTGTTCTGTTCTGAACCTTCCCTCCTTCTTCCCTCTTTATTAAAACAACAATGTATCTTGGAGATTGTTTGGAATCAGTAGGAAGTGCACAGCCCTGTTCCTTTTAACACAGCATAGTATCACATTGTATGTTCCATAATTGATTTGACAAGTTCCTGTGTTGTGAATATTTACTTGTTTACACACTTTTGCTGTTAGAGTGTTGCAATAAACATCCTTTTACCTTCTGGGCTACAAAGAAGTTTAGTAAAGCCTTCTACCGAGATGATTAAAAAAAATAGATCTGTTACCTTAAGAAAAAGATTCAAATAGTAGGCAAGCAGAAACACATAGATATGCTCTCTAATTATTTAGCAACAAATTTGTATAGACATACATAGTTTTAATTGGAAAATTCACAGTCTTGTGGCTTAGTGATGATTAATGCCAACTGTCTCATAAACGGGAACAGAATTTTATTTTTTTTTAAGTCATTTCAATTTGTGGTGCCCACCAGCAATGTACAAGAGTTTTCTTTTTCTGTATTTGTCTACTCATGTATTTTGCACCTTTTTTCTATTTTATTCTTCTGTTTCTTCTTAATTTATTAGGCCTTATATATATTAAGGAAATTAGCTCTGTTCTAGCATATTATGTTTACAAATATGTTTTCTAGCTTGTCACATGTCACTTATCTTCTTTATCTTTTTTTTTTCCATTTTATATGTTAAACTTATCTTTTCCTTTATGGTTTTTTGTTTGTTTTGTTTTTGCCTTCTAAGCATTAAGCTTATTTTTAAAAAATTCTCCCATGTTTTCTTACTTGTAGTTCTCATTTTGTTATATTGAAATCTCTGACCCTCTTAGACTTTATTTGGTATAAGGAATGAACAGGGAACTAATTTAATTTTTTTTCCACGTGGCTAGCAAATTGTCCTTATATATTGATAATCCATCTTCTCCCCACTGGATTTTTTTTTTTTGGAGTGATTTATTTACATAATTAGTTTGGTGGGAGACGAGATTTGTTTAGTTACTTATTAACTTATTTTTAGAGAAGGTACTGGGACCTGAACCCAGGACCTTGTGCATGGTAAGCAGGCACTCTACCACTTGAGCTATACGCTCTCCCCTCCCCAGGGGATTTAAATGCAACTTTTATTGTAAACTTACTTCCCATCTCTCTTTGGGCTCTATCCTGTTTCATTGATTAATATTTCTGTGTTCATACACCAATAGCAGCTTGTTTTAATTAATGTGGCCTTATAAATTCTAGTAAAGTGGTGTGGCATACCATGTTTATTGATTGGGTGACTAGATATTTTCTCTGTAAAGTGATCTATAGAGCCAGTGCATACTTAGATTAAATTCCAGTAGGCTTTTTTGGTAGAAATTGAAAAGAATTTTTTTAATTAAACATGCGCATCACGTGGCCTGTTTCCACTCCTAGAATTTAACCAAGAGAAAGGAAAACCTATGTCCTCACAAAGACTTGTACATAGGTGTTCATAGTGGCTTTGTTTGTAATAGCCCCCAAACTGGAAATGACTCAAGTATCCTTCAACAGGTGAAGGATGAATTGTATATCTCTACAATGGACTACTACCATAAATTAAAAGTTTAAAATTATTGATACATGCTCCAACATGGATAAATCTCAAAATAACTATCCTGAGTGAAAGAAACCAGACTAAATTTAGTACATACTGTATGATTCCATTTAAATAAAATGCCAGGAAAAAAAGCTAATTCATCTACAGTGACAGAAAACAGGTTGTTGCCCAGGGATGGAGTGATGCATTATAAGGTACCACGAGGAAGTTTTGGAAAATGATGGAAATAACCTTGAATGTGGTGATGGTTTAACAGGTGTATATGTATGTCCAAACTCCTCAAATTATATACTTTAAATATACAGTTTATTCTGTCAGTTATGCATCAGTGAAGTTGAAAAAAATTGAAAAGAAACTCCAGAAGTAGTCTTTGCTCATTACTCTTAGAATTTTTTAGGTATTCTTACATATTTATTTTCCCAAGTAAATTTTAAAATCAGCTAGTCCCGTTACTAAAACAATCCTATCATTACTTTTCATTGAATTAGTGTTATTTATAGGTTTAGTGAGAATTTTTTCTCTTTATAATATTGAGAAGTCCTTAAGTATTGAGTTGTGGTCCTTGCTATTAAAAGTGAAATCTTTTCTTATGTCATAATTATTTTCTAGCTGGTTGTGGTTTGGATGTAGAAAAGCTGGATGTGTCATCGAAATCTACTATTGTTTAGCTAGTTTTTTAGTTAATTCCTTATTGTTTTCAAGTATACAGTCATGTACACATTACACAGCTGAGATAACTTAAAAAGAGTGTGAGCTCAGAGCTTTCATTTTACCAACACAGAGCTTGCCTCTCTTTTCCCAGTTTTTATGCCTCCCATTACTTTCTTTTATCAGGTTGTGTCCGCTAGTACTTTTTTTTGTTTGTTTAGTATGAAGGTATGGCTAAAGATGTTGCACTTAAAATCTTTTAATTTTTTAAAAATATATTTTAGAGATGATTTCTCAAGAAGAAGTTTCTACTATACAATGGATATCATCTGTGGAAGCAAAGATTGAAGAGAAAAAAGCCAAAAAAGAAAATAAACTAACTTCAGGAAAGTTGGAGCAGCTCAGGAAAGAAAAGGTTAGAAAAACGTCTTTGCCCCAGGAGTTTTTCTGACCATGGTGGTGTCTGCTGCTCTCCTGCTGAGTTGCAGATGGGGAGTATTGTTCATCTCACTTCAGTAATCCCGCATCCCAGATTTGACAGTCTGGATCAGAGAATAGGAAACAAACCAAATCAACATCACTTGACTCTACTTTTGGCATTAAATTTTAATAAGTAAAACATTTAGGGTAGAACATTAAAAAGCATTGGCACTTATGTGCTAAATGCTGCAGAAAGAAAATAGATCGATTCAGTGCCTGCCCTCTAGAAGTTTATATAAGATTATGACTATGACAGTAGCACATTAATATGAATAGCACGTTATTCATGCTATTGACACATTAATATGAAGAAATCTGGATTGATAGCTTTCGCTGTTATGAAGGTCTTCCATCTGTGAAAGGGCATGAATTATACCTAGTATTTCTATCTTTTAGGGCTTGAAATTTAACCAGAAAGTTTCATAGGTGCTAACGCTCATCCCAGAAACTGTTACTGTTGCTTTGCAACATCTAACACCGTATTTGACCATATCCACGATGACTCCTTTATTTCTCTTTCCAGATAAACTTCTTGCGGAATAAACATAAAATTCATGTCCAAGGAACTGATCTTCCTGACCCAATTGCTACATTTCAGCAACTTGACGAGGAATATAAAATCAATGCTCGACTGCTTCAGAACATTCTAGATGCAGGCTTCCAGATACCTACACCAATCCAAATGCAAGCCATTCCAGTTATGCTGCATGTGAGTATGAAGGTCTAGAATGTCTCTTGACATTCCTCGTTTGTATGTGCGTGTGTTCATTTCCTTCCCTTGTTGAAATCTTCCTTTCTACTTATCACCTCCTGTTGAAAACTTCCCTGCTTTTAAGGTCCATCTCTAATGCCTGTGCCTTCTTAAAACTTGTCGTGATCACTACCGGTAGATGTCATCTTTTTCCTTTACCAGAACTCTCTCCCCTACCACCCAGTTCTCCATGTATTTTCTTTTTCTTGTAACATTTATCTTACATTTTGTCTTACACTGCCGTTTTTTTTATTAATTATATTTATCTTTTCCATTTACTAAGCGTGTTAACCCTCTGAGGCTAGGGTATATATTCTGTTATCCATCCATGATGTAGCTTATAATATCCAGGAATGATTTCAGAAATACAGAGTTCTTGTACATAACCTGACTTTATTTTTATCCCAGTACTTTTTATTATTGAAGTATATGTAAGTACCAAGAAATACATAAATTTTAAGTGCACAGTTCAGTGAGTTTCAACAATGCATACCCTATGTATCCATCACCCCCGTGAAGACGTGTAACATTCTGTCACTCCAGACAGTTCTCTCATACCCTTTCTGTTTAGTCCTAACCCCACCCCACCCAGAGGTAAGCACTTGGTTTCTATTGCCATGTATTGGTTTTATCTCTCCTAGAATATCGTGTAAGTGGAATCATTCATTATCTATTTCTTTTATTTTCGGTTTCTTTCACTATATACTATTTTTGAGATTCATCCAAGTTGCATATATCAGTTTGTTACTGAGCAGTATTCTCTTGTATGAATACACCATAATTTGTTTATGCACTGTTGATAGAGGTATGAGTTAACTTAGATTTTTGGAAATTAAATTTTTCTGAGGTTTCTTTTTGTAGTGATGAGAGCTGACATTTTTCCCTCCACATAACGAAAGATGGCCTTCAGTTCTGGTTGCCAAAGAACATGAGTGCCCTCCTCATCCATACTAATCTTTTTCATTTCCTTTGGGAACTAGAATGAGAATATATTTGAATGACGTTGGCTGACATTATAGTGGATTCACTTTTAATTCTCATGTAAGATTGCTTCTGTGGTGACCTAAGCTTTAAGCTAAGAGTCATAGTACCTTTTGAAGATTGTCACCTATAAATGACTCTGTCACTCAGGTTATCACCACTTTTTATTTCTTACCCTTAGGCATTCTGTTACATATTAAAGCCTTCCATAAGGGTAGAGCAATGCAGTCATCAGGACAAAAAGTTGGTTTTGTGGTTTTCCTTTGATAAAGAGGTTTAGGGGGGAGAAAAATGAAAATAATGAAAATAATTGAGGTTGTCAGTTATCTTTGGATTTTAGTTATGCACTTTCTTTATCCAGTTCAAATGAACTTTAGTGATAATGCTCAGAAACTCCACTGGGGCAGTGGTGTTGAGGATGGATGATGTTAGAAAAGTGAATATTGAAGATGTTAGAAGAGTGATGGGAATGTGAGTGATTGAATTTATTGTGTATAATTTTGTTATTTTTATGGCTGGTAGCGTTATTTGACCAGGCTCTGCAAAATTTATGTACTCTTCCTTTTCTTAACATACTGTTTTTAGGGTCGAGAACTTCTGGCTTCTGCTCCTACTGGATCTGGAAAGACTTTAGCTTTTAGCATTCCTATTTTAATGCAGCTGAAACAACCCACAAATAAAGGCTTCAGAGCCCTGATTATATCACCAACACGAGAACTTGCCAGCCAGGTATGACTTGTAGCTTCTGAAGAGGATGTGTTTGTATTTGCTCCAGTCATCTTTCTTATTTGAGGGTAATAAAAAGGTCTCAAGAGAGTAAGGCCCGTGTCTTTGTCGTGGTCAGGTATTCTGTAGAAAACACACTTCTCTGTATCTTACTGCATATGAGCAGGTCATTTTAAGTCTTGTAATTTTCTAAAACACGGTCATCTTAACAATAATACTTTGGTATAAGCTCTTCCTTAAAGTTGGAAGGATATTGTAATATATACTTCTTCTCTAAAACTTATTTTTCTCACCTAGAAAAATGAAACCTCATGTCAGTTTTTCAGAAAGTAGAACTATACAGTGGTCTGCTCCACCCTCCCAATGAGCTTAATATAAAAAGCATGCCAAGTATGAAATAGTTTGTAACAGTACTGCATTCAAAAAACAATGTGTAACGGAATGGAAGAGTTTTGATTTTATCTCTTAGAACTAGTTTATTAGACCTGAAGAAGCTACTGAATCTTTTTAGGCATTCAGGTTCCAAAATGCTGAGATTCCAGGTTAATTTACAGATTATTAAGGGTTTAATTTCAGAAATTCATGGGTTGATAATAGATTTATTTTGTTAATAATGAAAAAGAAACTGTACACTTTATCCAAGTACTTTAGCAGCCAGTGTTAATCATTTTCTGTTTTAGATTCACCGAGAGTTAGTAAAAATATCTGAGGGAACAGGATTCAGGATACACATGATCCACAAAGCAGCAGTTGCAGCCAAGAAATTTGGACCTAAATCATCCAAGAAATTTGGTAAGGGGTTCATCCTTGAGGTATAGAGTTTATAAGGGATTTGGAAATTACAAATATCCTAATTGCCACCTAAAAGTTTTTAAAGTGTAGTTAGTTTGATTTTTAGAGAAGCTGGAAGAGCTCTCCTCCCCATTCCCATCCAGTAGTTATATAAATATATACCAGTGGTTCTCAACTAGGCGTGATTTTGCCCCTTACCCCCATGTCACCCTCCACCCCAGAGATCTGTGGCAGTATCTGGAGAAATTTTAAGCTGTCACAGCTGGGGAGGGGTGCTACTAGTATAGGAATAGAAGCCAAGGATGCAGTCAAACATCCTACAATGCACAGGACAGCCTCCAGCAACAAAGAGTCCATCTGGATCAAAATGTCAGTAGTGCCAAGGCTGAGAATCCCTCCTTTATTCTATTGATTTTTAATCTGCTTTATTTGTCTTTTATCTTGATCATTGGAGTAAAACTGCATTGAAGGAAAGTATTTTCCTGAAAAACAGACACATGTTTGAAAAGCAAACTAAACTGTTGGATTATAACGTTCTTGTCTCTTAGAAGCTGAGAAGGCAGATCAAATATAAAAAAGAAGAGTACGGATATAGTCTGTGCTATGATGGATTAAAAAATACGTATGTTAGCTTACTGATAAGGAAGAACTTTGTGTTGTCGGGGTAGCACGTATACCCACTCCCCATGCTCCCCACTTGAGGTTGTTAACTGCAACTCAGGAGGCTTACTCACCTAGTTCAAGAGGGATGAATCTTGTTTTTGCAATTTTTACCATTTGTTTTTCCTATAGATATTCTTGTGACTACTCCAAATCGACTGATCTATTTATTAAAACAAGATCCTCCAGGAATAGAGTTAACAAGGTACAGATAAGGTTATGTCTTTTATGTGTGTTTTTCACTTAGTTGATTGTATTTTGTCCTCAATTACTTGAACTTCCCTTTGGAGCTTGCTATCTGCCAACTTCCAGTATTGGTACTGAGAATAATGGTTTTCATTAAACTCATAGAAAAGTAACTATCTGGTCTGGAAGAAGGTCAACAGAGTCTGATAAGCAGGTAGTGCAGAATTCCCCTAGAAATTTTCACATCTTTCAGCAATGGTGATGGAGTTCATAAGGTTTTTGTAAAACTCTTTATGTCGTTGCTAATGGAGCCTCATATCTTTGAGGCTGATGGAATAGGTACACTAATTTATGTTTGTATTGTTTTTACCTCTTTCTTGCTTATTTTTCTTTCTGGTATAATATATGGATCTGAGAAGTATCACCGTGGTTTGACTTCTTCATGTGTCCCCACAATTTAGTGAAGTGTCTTGGATCCTTCAGTTCAATACCCCTAAGTTTTTTTTGTTATTTCTTAGTGTTGAGTGGCTGGTAGTAGATGAATCAGATAAACTGTTTGAAGATGGCAAAACTGGGTTCAGAGACCAGCTGGCTTCCATTTTTTTGGCCTGCACATCCCACAAGGTCAGAAGAGCTATGTTCAGTGCAACTTTTGCATATGATGTTGAGCAGTGGTGCAAACTCAACCTGGACAATGTCATTACTGTATCCATTGGAGCAAGGTAATTGTTTTTCCACGTAATCCCACTGATTTCTTGTAAAAATGCAAGTCATTATTTTAGACTAAAGGAGATAGGTTGTGTGGCCTAAGATTACTACTGGAGAGGATTTTACTGAAAGAAGCATATTATCTAAAGTCAAGATTGATTAAGGATTTTCTCTTTTAGAGTACTCCAAAGGAAGATTCTCATACTGTCATGTGAATCTTCCTGACATCATGCTTTTAGTTGATTTTTCCCATCTAGAAATTATGATGTGAGCTCTGTAGCCACCAAAAGGGTTTAATTTCTTTAATGACTTAACGAAGTAGGGGCACAGAGAAGGAAGCTGATGTTACTGAGCCACTTGATTTATAATTCCTTTTAAAAAATATTTTGGGGAGCATTTATGCTAAATGGATAGAAAAAAGTTTCAAGAGATTATATTGCCACTTGATAGACTATAATGCAACCGATGAAATGGTAAGAGTGAAGATTGTAGCTATATGAAAAAGTGCTTGTAATAATACCATGTTAAGTAAAAAAGAAGCCACATGGAACAGTAAAGAATATCTTCTCTACTTTAAACTTAAAAATCCTGTGTATAAAGAGAAAACAGAACAAATTCACCATTAATATAATTGTAAAGGCAGATAACAGAATGGAAAAAATATTTGTGACATAATACAATGTATCGCAATGGCTTATGGACTGTTAAGAAACCCTTAAGATATCCTCCTCCAACTGTCTATAAATAAACCTTTGCTAATCATTAAGAAAAAAATTTAGCCATATGTGATAACGTTCTCATTTTACCCAGTAATTTTATTTTTAGAAAGATTTTGTAAGTAAATAATTAGACACATGAAAATTTATGACTAGAACACAACAGAATGTCAAAGTTTATTCTAAAATGTTAGAATTGTGGGCAGTTCATTTTATTGTTTAATATCTTTTAAAAATTTTCTTGAGATAACTTTTTCATAATCCAAACAAAACATTTAAAAATAACAACTTTGTCTTTAAGTTAAAATATAAATAATTAAATACTTATATTGACAATGAAAAAGTTTATTCTTTTGGAGTTGTGTGTAAATTTCTTCATTGATTTAGAATTCTGGGGAAGACAAAAATTGGCTCTTGCAAACTACAAGGTATGTTTTCTTCTCAGGAATTCTGCCGTAGAGACTGTAGAACAGGAGCTTCTCTTTGTTGGCTCAGAGACTGGAAAACTTCTGGCCATGAGAGAACTTGTTAAAAAGGTATAATTTGGACTACATTCTTGAATTTTGAGAAAGTTCACCAAGCCTTATATTACTAGTGGAGGCTTGAGTGCTATTCCTGTATCATATTTAGTAATCCAGTGGTAAACCAGTAAGTACATTGGCCAGCTCTTGTCTCAAAGGGGAGAGGCTCACCTTTTAGAGGATAGTAAGTTTTCTATTCCCAGCTTGGGGTAGGCTAGGAAAAGACCCACCTGATGCCCTGGAAGCGTCCTTTTTCCACATCTGCATACAGGCAGACCTCGGAGATACTGTGGGTTTGGTTCCAAACATGGAAATAAAGCCAGCATTGCAATAAAGCGAGTCACAGGAATTTTCTGGCTTCCCAGCGCATGTAAAAGTTATGTTTACATTATGTTGTAGTCTGTTAAGTGTGCAATAGCAGTATGTCAGAAAAAGCAATGTACGTACCTTAATTAAACAATGCTTTATTGCTAAAAAATGCTAACCATCATCTGAACTTCCACAAGTCATAGCAGTAACATCAAAGATCACTGTAACAAATATAATAAATGAAAAAGTTAGAAATACTGTGTAAATTATTAAAACTAAAAAATTATTAAAAAAGACATGAAGTGAGCAAATGTGCTGTTGGAAAAATGGTGCCAATAGACTTGCTTGATGTAGGGTTGCCGCAAACCTTCAGTTTGTAAGCAAAACAAAACACAGTGTGAAGTGCAGTAAAACGAAGAATGCCTGCATAAATCTGCCCCCTTAACCTCCCCCCACCCCCTGCTGGTTTCTTACAGAACTGGGGCACTGTAGAATGAATACGACACTGCAGTGTGGGGTTTTGTTTTATTAATGAGTTAATACTTAGTAGTTCTTGGCACATAATAAATGCTATATGTGTTAGTTTTACTAATGCTCTTAAGGAATTCATTTGTCAGGAAATTTAAGGTTTTCACAGATACTCACATGGGATTATACATCAGGGATTTTTAGCCTTGTATAAGCTTGAGGAATTCTGTGAACCTTTTGAAATTATACGTAAGATTTTGTGTGGATGTGTGGGTAGAAAGCTTTGTAGCTTCATTAGCCTCTGAAAGGGTGTGTGGAAAGGGTTTGGGGGGGTTTGATAGTATAAATATAAAAATCATTTATTTAGAGCTGGTTGTTGATAATTGAGATTTTATATAACTTGGTAAGATTATATTGAGAGAATTGAGAACCAAGGACTAAGCTTTGGTGGAATACCCACAGTTAGGATAAATAACGTCTTAAAATGAAGTTACTATATTTTAAGAAGAAACAAAAAGGTTCTGAGGCACAGAAGCAAAGAGATAATTATTTCAAGGAGTGGACGCCCATTGCTGTAGAAAGTGAAGAGGGATTACTTAGACGAGATTATTGAGATCAGCAAGATGGAGAGTACATTCAAGTTGAATGGGAAGAGTCCATTGTAGAGCATGGATGGTGAGGAAGAAAGAGGCAGATTTAGACCACTGGTCTAGGAAATTTGGCAATTTCTAAATACAGTTGTCATTTTGTGAACTAAAATCATATGAAATACTGCAGTTATATTCTTTACTATGGGTTATGTGTGCTTGCTTTCAGGGTTTCAATCCACCAGTTCTTGTTTTTGTTCAGTCCATTGAGAGGGCTAAAGAGCTTTTTCATGAGCTCATATATGAAGGTATTAACGTGGATGTTATTCACGCAGACAGAACGCAGCAACAGGTAAAGTCACATGTATACTTTCAAAGCCATAAAGAATAACTAAATTTTTTAATTGGCATTAAATTTATGAAGTATTTGTTTTCCATTCCTAGAGTGGTACTAAAACATTTCATATATGTTCTGTTAACCAGAGAGATAACACAGTCCACAGCTTCAGAGCAGGAAAAATCTGGGTTCTTATTTGTACAGCCTTGCTGGCCAGAGGGATTGATTTTAAAGGTGTGAACTTGGTGATCAACTATGACTTTCCAACCAGCTCAGTGGAGTACATCCACAGGATAGGTGAGTTGTGTGCCCCAGCCCCTCAGTCGTCTGCCTTAACAACTCTGCTCTTCCCTTCAGCTTGCTCGTTTTTCAGTGCTGTGAAAATCCAGTGAGTTTTATATGTGAATCTTGAAAGTCTCATTCCCCCAAACAAGTTTTTAATTTATGGTCTGATTTCTCTTAGGTCGAACTGGAAGAGCAGGGCATAAAGGAAAAGCTGTTACATTTTTCACAGAAGATGATAAACCATTATTAAGAAGGTAAATTAGGAGAAATAACTTAGTATTAAGTTGGCAAAATTGATTCATTATACTCATACACAATTAATGGATAATTACAAAATGGCTGTGTTTCAAACTCTGTTATGATATTAATCAACCACATTTTAGCTGTGAGAAAAAGAAAAATGATCAAAGGCCTTGTTTTTGCCCTTCGATTATTAGATTTGGAAATATTCACAATGGAATTATTTATTAAGTTTCAGACTTGCCGAATTCTCCCACTAGCCATCAGTTATTACTTACAATGTAATGTTAAGGTTTTTGGAGTAATGAATAGTTTAAAGTTAACCCTGAGTCTCTTTAGCCCAGTCAGAATGATCTCTTACTATGATGCGTTCTTCCCATTACTCTTAGGGGCAGATGGAGTGTTATATTTAGTCCCAGGATCACCTGTTGTGTAGGAAGAATTATTTTAGTAACACACCCCAGTATTACTCAATTGTAGCCCCTTGAAGCCTGGGTAACTTACGACAGATACACTTTTAGAATCTCAAGTCTTAATTCAGCCCATCATCATAGATTTTAATATAGAACTTCAGTGTCCTACATTTTGGTTGCCTATAGAAATTTTAGGCTGATGATAATTGACAACACTTCACATTTGTGACAAATGAAATTGAGTTATGGATGGAGGCAGTTTGTACTTTGATCTGTGTATCAGTTTTGGCAAAGATTTTGATTTGCGCCTTCTGAGGCTTGGCTCTGTCAGCCTTGATTGTGCTTTGAGCAGACTTCCACATGATGGGTAGCAGGGGTATATTCCAACAGCCTAGATTCACCTAAGTTCTCCTCAGGGACTGCAAGCATGTGAATCTGATGAACCCCATTTCAGTGTAACTGCGTCTAAGTTTTGCATCTGGGAAATGGGGATAATGATAGATTTACTACAGAGGGTTGTAAGGATTGAGGAAGTTACTATACATGAGAAGCTTGAGACAATGCTAAGCCCATAATAAGCACTATCATTTCACAAATTTAAGTTTGACTCTGACTTCAGTCAGTGTCTCATTCAAGACAGGGCCTAGTAGCTTTTTCGGGCTTGATAAATGTTGAGTAGAAATAAGCTGCTGTCTAAAATTATTCATCAGTGCATTGATTTCAGTCCAGCGGACAGTTCTCTCCATAATCCAATGTGATTGCATCTAGTGATAATTGACAGTATATCAGAGTACTTTCCTGTTTTTGTATTTTAGTTGTTCTTGTATTGTGCAAAGGGTTTAAGTACATAAACATCAGTCTGACAAGATACAAGTTTATATTTATGGATGTCTTTTTCAGTGTTGCCAATGTTATACAGCAGGCTGGATGTCCTGTACCAGAATACATAAAAGGTTTCCAAAAACTACTAAGGTACAGTCTTGAATTTACCTGGAGCCTCTCTCTTTCTGCATATACATTCTTGCTTTCATACTCTTCTACATTATTGTTCTAACACTACTACTCCCTTTAGAACATTTTAAGATAAAACATTCCCTTTTAAATGTTTGTTAATGCTGTGTGTTCTTTCCTTGTCAGGTTTTCATCCTTGAAATTTTAAGTATTCAAATTTTTTCGATATTATTCAATATGGGTAAAATAGGCTTAGATTTTGTTTTAGTTCATAAAACTGGTAAAAAGCAGTTAATTGGCCAAAATCAAACTCTAGTGTTTGTTGGTATAGGATACAAGAGTGACAAAAGACATACTTTAATCATAATCAGTGCCTTTTAAAAATTGATTGAATTTATCATCCCTTTGGGTTACCTCTGTTAGTCTACCTTGTATATTAAAGTGGATACAGTGTCACTGGAAACTGGAAACTGGATAAAAGAAATGAATTTTGTGACCAAGAATCTAAACTAGTTTTAGCTTTAGCTCTTTTAAACTAAGTTGCACTTAGTTCAATTCTTTTTTCTCTTACTTTGTAACTTGCAGCAAACAAAAGAAAAAGATGATTAAGAAGCCTTTGGAGAGAGAGAGCATTAGTACAACTCCAAAATATTTTTTAGAAAAAGCTAAGGATACACAGTAAGTATATGGGGAAAGGGACTGTCTGGCTCGGTCGTGTAGTTATAGTAGGCATTATGTTCCCATGGGCTAAATTTTTAGAAGTGGAACTGATAGGTCTACAGTCCATTATAAAATGTAATAAAAGTAATATATCTTTGGTTGCCTATGATTTGGGAGCTTGGAATTCTTCTGTATGTGCATATTAGCGATTTGTTTTTCTCCATCTTTGAAAATATGGTTTCAGTTCACTGTGAATTAGAGTTGCACTGTCCACCATCTCCACACAGCCTGCACCTGAGCATACTCCTGTGGCTGGTAGTTAGGACTTCTGACTCCCGCTGATGGGATCTTCCTTGAAGCCCCACATTCTGGGTAGGGTTTCATTAAGACCTTAGGCTTATGCAGAAGCACATTGTAACACCTCTGAACAGTACGACTTGGGTAAATTTTAGTGTTTTAGCTGAGTTTTTGAGGAGTTTAAGGCATAGATTTTTTAACATCCACACGGGACTACCTTTTTTGCCTGTCACTCCCAGGAAGCTACCTGATTTGATAGGGGTAAGCTAAAATATTCTGAGCAGTACTATTCTTTCCGCTATTTAAGGAAAATGACACTCTTCAAATTCTGTCAGTACCGGTTAATATATAACACATACAATGTGTTAGGCATTTACCAAGTCCTGTTGACCTGCCAGGTACTTGATGGTAGTAAGGTGTATGAATGGATGTAAAATGAGACCCCTCTCCTGAAGCTGGGGAAAGGAGATTAATGCACATGAAAAAAATGTAGAGAATAACTTCTAAATAAAATAGAAGTTTAGAGAAGGGAAACATCATTATGGATTGGTGTAGTTCCAGAAAGTTTCAAGGCGGTAGAACTGTCTTCAAGGATAGGTGACGTTCAGGCATGTAGAAGGAATGAGGTGGAGAAAGGCGAGAAGACTGGAGTGTGCTTTCTTTCCGAGTGAGAGTCTGCCTGACAATTCACATTGACTATGGGAAGTCATGTTCAGCCCAGGTACATAGAGTGTGCAGAGTGTCCCAAAGTTTTAGTGGTTTTAAACTTTAATAACTTGGGGAGAAAAAAATGTGGCAAACGTATACAGTTGTATCATTTGAAAGTTATTTTAATGTCATTGTTCTTTTGTGCATTCTTAATACATGTTTTAATTTCAATTCTTTGTGGTAACAGTTCCTGAGTGACACGAAGGTTCTCTGCTTGGTCACCTTCCCTGTCTCATTTGACTTTTTCTTGTGGTGGGCCGCTTCAGAATTGTGGCACTGCATCAGAACCTCATTCTTTGGGTGATCTTAAAGCTTATGATTAGAAGTGCAGTCCTTTCAGGCAGTGAGCAGCAGCTGATGAAAGTTTTTACGAAGGTCCAAAATCAACTAGAGCATAAGATCGTGGCTATGTTGAATTTTAATAAGAAATATTGATATTTTAGGTAATTACACTCTAATTGTTGATTTTTGTAAGTTTGTGGCTTTTATGCTCTGAGGTTATTGAAACTTAAAGTTGCACAAAGACTGAGGACACTTGGTATAAACCTTGTCACTGGTTCCCTGCTTAAAGATGCTTTGGTTGACTCTCCATTACCTTATCATTTAAAGGCTGTACTTCTTAACATAGCTACAAACAAGACCTGATTTGACTCTGTCTTACTTTTCCACTATAGATGTTTTAATGATGTTACCCACATCTGTGGCCTCAGCTCTATGCTGATAACTCTTAATCCATATCTTCCGGCCCAGCTTCTTAGCTGAGCTATAAACCTGAATCCTGTTGCCCAGTGGACCTCAGTTCAGGCACTGCAAACTCAACCAGCTGTAGTGGGAGGTGGGGGGATTGGATTCGGAGCCAGAAGAACTGGCTCTCATACCACCTTTTCCTGTGTGATTTTGGACAAGTCACTTCACCTCTCTTAAGCCCCTTTCCCCTGATATATAATAGGAATAGTTATATAAATAATACCAACTCTGCCACTCAAGGTTGGTTGAGGAGTAAATGAGTTAATATACCTCCAAGAACTTTGTAGTACTATACAATAGTCTGTACATATTGATTATTTTCTCAAAACTTTTTTCCTTTTCCTGTGTTAACACTTAGCTGATTCACCAGACTCTAAAATCAGACTGTCAAAAGTTCATGTCTAACATTTATTAGCAAGTTGCTCAACCACTCTACCTCATTTTCCTCATCTGTAAAATGAGGATAATAATAGAATCGTTTTCGTAAGTTAGGAAGATGACCTAAGTTGATACATGTAAAGCACTTACAGCAGCATCTAGCACTTGATGTGAACTCTTACTATTAGGCCAGGACCAGAATGTGTCTTTTATGGCATGTTGTAGTGAAGTTTGTTGTGATGTTTCTATCTCACTTAAGTGTTCATGATTTTCTTTAGAAAGACCATGTCTAAAGCATCTTTGTGTTCCTAGTGCCTCATATACTTGATTATATGGTAGATTTCAGTAAATATTTATTACACTGGTGGAGTTTTGGAGAGTACCTATATCTAAAATTTCTTTCTTTTTTTTTTTAACTAAAATTTCTAATTCAACTTTCCTTTCATTGTCACAGGAAAAAGGTCACTGGTCAGAAGAGCAAGAAGAAAGTAGCTCCTGAGGACAAAAGTTAAAAACAGACTTTCAAAAAGACTGTCTCACAAATGTAATTTTACGATTCCAGTATGAATGTTGTTTTCATGGAATACATCATCTTATAATCACCTGTACCAAACATTTGAAATGAACCACAAGAACACCGGACTGGTGAAAAATGATCCTAAATTATCAGTGCATCATGTCAAGTTCAGTTTGTAGGTCATTTTTAAGTGATTATACAATAGAAATAACATTCATTGAAATTTGTGTGGTTTGAATCCAGAGAGATACTTCTTATAGAAGAACAAATGCTTATGCTAAAAATAACAGCACCCAAATGTGGTGAACTCATGGATTTTTCCCTTCAAGTGTGAAGGAAGGTGTCATGAACGCTGTGGAGAGGCATCTGGAACCACATTTCAAAGTAAAGCTTTGCGATTGAATGCCCCTTCCCACTTGCTTTTTTTTCCCCTCCTTCTTTCTTCCTTCCTTTCTTTCTTTTTTGGTTTGTTGGTTTGTTGGTTTTTTTGGATGGACAAGAAGCAGCATGGGCTGTCTAACAAGAATAAACCTACTGCTCAATTATTTCACTATTTCTTAATTTGTTGGTGGCATTTTGTGGTATGAGCCACAACGAAATGCCTCTTATGTGGCTGGCTATTCAAGTTCCCTAGGATTTTAAATTCTTTGGTCTATTAAATATCTTATCCCTCACTGGTAACATAGCTCCTACTGTACCTGTCATAATATTGCAACTATAAGATTATGGTCAGCCTCTCCTTTTCTTCATTTTCTGTCATTTAACCATGTTCTTTCCTGTCTCTTTCCGTTCGAGATGACTTTGCTCAAAAACTGATAAACATTTTATCCTGATAAGGAAGAATGTTCCTGTTACTTGATATACCTCTGGCCCCATTCTCTTACAGCTGATCTTTCCTGAGGCTTTATGGCCCTTCATCCTTTAGTACACAGGTCTCTGCCAAAGGTACAGGATTATGATTATACAGTGATGGAGACTATTCACTATTAGCAGATTTTTCTCAGTTGCTAGTTTTGTACAGTGGAATAAAACAACAACTTCATACCTGTAAGTTACTTGGAATGGTACCTAACAGGAATGTTACTTATTATCATACTGTAATACTATATAGATAACCTTTTCTCAGCAGCACTTGAATTAAACTTATTTATTTACTTTAGTCTCAGTCTTTTATTCTCGAGTCAGGACAGGTAGACTCCAACTTAAATATTTTAGATAGGACAAAAATTGGTCATCTTCAGAATTTATGTAAATAGAGACCTCTTGCTGCAAGGTGCAAGAAATACAAGCCTGTGATTTGTTTGTTTGTTTGTACTTGCAAACACATCCTTGACTCAAAATATATTCTGGACTTCTGTGTACTGGTACTACCCATTGACCAGTTGTTTGAATAAGTTTTTTCATTTCTCAGAGGTTCAGTTTCTTCATTTGTGAAACTGATGGTAATACCAACTATGTCTCAAGATTAGAAGTACCTAGCACTGTGCCTGACATGTTATAACTTCTCTTTAAACAAACATTATGTATTTGGTTAGGAATAAAAGGCTTGATAACATAGTCTGTGCCCTTACAGTGTAATTAGTGTTGAGGATAAAGTAAAGGAACAAAGAATGTAGTAAATGCTGTTAAACATAAAGCCACGATGCTGAAGCGTCACAGGAGAGCATCTAACCTGGACTGGAAATGTCATGGAAGGCTGACATCCTGGGTCTTACAGATGTAACAGTTAATAAGTAAAGGAAAACAAAGTACTCCAGGCAGAAACAAAAATCATGTCTTCTGTGATCTTTGATATACTCCTTTCATTTGGCTTTTTCCGTCTTGTTCTCAGTATTTTCTGTGTAACCACCCATCCTTAAAGTGGCTACAAAAACCTGTATCAATTTGGTTTGTTAATGGATTAATACTGAATTTAGTATATCAGTTTATATCAATTGGAACATCCGCTACACAGTCTCTTCTAAAGAGGGGGAGGAATGAAATTAGTGGACAATTATGATAAAGTGATAAATAGCTGGCTTTAGTTGAAATGAGCAAGGACTTTGAAGTCAAACATCTGGATTTGGATCCTGGTCCTGCTGCTTTGCAGCTGTGTGAGCTGGGTAAATTACAGTTTCTTGTAATCGGGGTTTTCTTATCTGAAATGCCAACAGTAACTCTTAGCAACATTAAGGATTTGAAAAAATATAGTAAAGTTCCCGACCAGTGATTTGTGCCCAATAAACAATAACGTCAAATTGTTTCCTTGTAAAAGCCCTAAAAGCAAGACTAAAAGATAAAGCTAATTAGAATCTGTTACTTGCTAGTAAACAAACTCTACTTGAGGGGTTGAAAAAGTCTACATTCAACTTTTACGTTTACTTACAGTAGTTTGGGGGGCGGGGAATCACAGTAAAAATATGGCTAGATAGATTCAGAGCAATGAACCGCTTCCACACACTGTTTTGGCTCTGATTGCGAATGTAGGAAAAACAAGGATTATCAGGTGGCTAAATACCTTCAGCTTTTTTGGGTGCGTACCAAAAGGAAGCTGCCGAGTTCCACGGAAAAAGTAGAGCTTATTACCAGCGCTGTGAAGCTATCAAAGGGGCATTTTGGATCCATCTATTCCTTGTGTAGAGAGTAACAACAACAACAAAAAAGCACCCGTGTACCCACCATCCAGTTTAAGAAAATAAAACAAGACAAGCTACTCTTTTCACTAAACCAAGATGATGGTTTTTCAATCTGAGCAACGACGACGCCTAGCAGCTCGCCTGCCAGCTGGGCCCTCCACAGAGTCCTTGCGGGAGAATGAATCAGCTTCCCTGGAGCAGGGCGCAAACAGCCGCACCAGACCCAGAACGAGAATTGCACCTGGCGGGCCCCGCGGCGGCAGTCGGGTCACGTGACGTGGGCGCGCGGCTCCTCCCCCGCGCGCGGGGCGTCACGTGGGCGCGCGGCCCCGCCCCGTCTCCCAGTCCGCGGCGAGGTGGGGCCCGGCGTTTGCCCCGGAAGTGGCTCTCCTGACAGCTGCTGGGGAGGCGGCGGCGGCGGCAGGCCCGGAGCAAGATGGCGCTGCGGCCGGGAACGGGAGCCGGAGGCGGCGGGGCCGCGGGAGCTGGCGCGGGGGCCGCAGGAGGAGGCAGGTGGGTGCGAAGAGCTGGGCCGGGACGCGCCTCGCAGACGCAGGGCTGGCCCCGCACGGGCGACGGGTGGTCGGCTGTTAGGGCCGTTTTCGCCCGCGCCGACCCCTTTTCCCCTGGAACTGGGCTGCGGGAGGAGAAGAGTCGTCCTCCGGGGACCTAGGCCGAAGGGACAGACGGAGCCTGGGCGCCCGACTCCGGTCTTCCAGGCTCGGGGGCGCTGGCTGCTGGGGCTGAGCGGGGAGGAAAGGAGGGGGAGGCGAGGGTCCCGTCGGCCGGGCTGGATAAAGGAGGAACCCCGAGGCCTTGCTTTTAAACCCTGGCTGGGTCTGAAACGACCAGAGATTTGACCAGGGTTTGACTAGGGGCTCTGGAAAATCTGTTCACAGAGCTGGAAAAGTATTTCCAAGGTGCGCGCGTGTGTGTATACACTATCTTTCTCCTCTTACAGTGTCCTGTCCTTTTCATTATTTCCTTAACACGCGAGAAGCAGCAGGAAAATTTGAAGTCTGTTGAATTAGTAAATAGCGTTCTTGTAAAGGTAACTCTTAACACTTGCCTCCTTATTAAAGAATAATTGACTGTTAAACAGCACGTACGCAGTTTTATCAGAACAAAGCTTCCAGACTTTTACTTAGCCTTGAAACAAATTTACTCCCTGTCATATTTCAGCTACAAATTGCCAGGGGTTCTCCTACCCAGAACGATAAAAGAAATGAACATTTGCAACTTGACAGGTTCATCGTTTAAGGAAATACTTGATAACGGGAAGTTTTCATCCCACTTGTGTAATGACTTAGTCTGATTGTGTTTTGCTAGCCAACCCGTTGTGTATATACATTTGGAGATAATTTTAGCTTTTTATCTTCAGCATCCTAAATTATTTTTGGAAAACGAAGTGTTAGTTTTTTGATACTCAGTGTTTTAATTTTAGACTCGTGAACACTACAAAAGTGTGAAGTCTTTGAAGTCATCACCTCCTGCAGATGCTTATATGTATGGTAGGGCAAAAAACAGTCGCTTTTTCAATAAACCACCTGTGTGCAACCCCATTTTTCATTTTCTCTCCACATCTTTCACTTTAGATTTAAAACTGTTTTCTTTCTCTTTTGTTTTCTGATTTCTACTGTTTTATTAGTTTGACATATAAGTCAGTTTCTGGTCAGAGGAGACAAATATGTAATCTCTTTCCTTTGTGACTGATGACAGTTTCTAAAATGTTCTCGAGTGGCATTAATTTGATCAAGTATGTGATTAATCATGGCACGAAGTTCTGGGAAGATACAAACTTAAAAGAATTTGGCGTTCTAGGCCCAGGTTTTTTGGGTATTTGATGTTGTTTGGGTTTGAATTTTTTGGTTTTATTTCAGGTGGGGAGGACCTTGGGTGCAGAAAATTGAGTGGATCATTCCCCTTAGTTTATAGTATTTTAACATCATTGGTCCATGGACACAATTTTTTTTACAAAGATAGCCTGAATTGTGATAGAAATTAGAATGACTAACTTTGAATTTTCTTTCATCTTTAAAATTTAGTTTTAGTAACATTGCATTCTTAAACTCTAGAGGGTATGTAGGAGAGAAAAATCATCCTTACCTTGAAAAATGTACGGTAATTATTACTTACATTGGAAACTTTCTGAGGCCGAGAAGCTGTACGCTCAATAAAGAAAAAATACGGTTTTTAGAGAGCAGTGGTGCTGGCTGAGGTTATTTTATAAGGAAGCTAACATTATGGTTGGTAGCCTAAGTATATTTTAGGGAAAAAGAAAAAGAACCAGGCACCTCTTATCTTTTAATCGAGAAAATCCATGAACTATAATTTACCGTATTTCTTAGATACTTGTCTCGGTTCTAAGAGACTACTAAACAAAAAGCATTGGCATTTGCCAACTTTATTAATGTTAGCCTACTTTTGATTGGTATCCTAAATGGGCTACTTTAGAGTAAATGGTAGACTTGTATATAAAAGGCACAATTTACCCAAAAGATGAGAAGTATAATTTTTTTTTAAGTTAAGTATGGCAGGAAAAAAACAATTGAAAGATCTTAATTAATATGTATCCTTCTGGAATAGTACCCTTGGTGAACTTGTCCACTTTTTTTTTCTGCTCCTGTAAGCTCCTTAAGGGCCTCCTCATCTTTTTCTCTTCCACTGCTTCTAGCACATTCTATACGTAGAAAACCTTCTGTAAATATTTGTGGATTCAAGCAACATTGAAGGCAAAGAAGAGATATTTCAGCTGGGCCTCATTTCCAGGAAGAGGAAGGGGTCAAGAGATTATCATGGAGAAGGGAAGGCCTAGTGAACACTAGGGAGTAGCAGGTAGGCCAGGTGGACTGTGGCACTGATGGGAGAGAAGAGTCTTATGAAATAAAACTGAAAAAGTTGTGTTAAAAGTGGAGAGAGGGACTTGAATATAAACTGAGGAAATTCAATTTAGGGAGGAATCTGACGTTATTTTAATCCTGGGAGTCGCCTCATCAAGTGGTCCTTCAGGGAGATGCCGCCCGCCTGTGCTGCAGGAGCTGCATGGGAAGCCGTAGAGCCTGCAGGTGGGGAAATGCGGTAGGAAGCGTGTTGCTGTTACCGGTCTACTAAACGTTTCAGAGAATCGTATGACTGGTACATAGGTCAGTAGGTAGTTTGGGTTGCTAAATAATTACTGGTAATTATTGATGTAGACCGTTCTCCTGATCTGGAGTTACTTTTCTGATTGCCTGTTAGATTGCTCTTCATGAACACACTCCTACCACCTGTCTTCCCAGACCTGCTCACATTGGGTTCCTGTTTTCAGTAAACAGCGTCACAGTCCTTGCAGTTGCTCAGGCTCAAAATTTCAGCATCATCTTCAACTCTTTCTGCTCTTTGAGTACTGTTCTCCCACCTGGCAGTTGCCAGGTCCTGTTGATTCTTCCTTTTAAATAGCTCATTCATCTCTTTTTTTTTCCCCATTCCCATTACTCTGGTGATGGCCCTTTTCATTTCTTATGGAGATGATTTTGATAGTTTCTTAGCTGGCTCTTTTTACTTCAAGCTTTCCCTGAGATACCCCATTACCAGAGAAACCTAAAGCGCATTTCTGATCATTTCACTGCTTAAAACTCTGACATTAGGGAAATGTAGAGCTCAATCACAATGAAATAGCACTTCACCCTTTTAGGATAACTATCAACTAAAAAAAGAAGTGTTTGAGAGGATGTGGAGAAATTGAAACCCTTGTGCATTCCTTGTGGGAATGTAAAATGGTGCAGCTGCTGTTTTTCAAGAAGTAAACATAGAATTGCTATATGACCCAGCAAGCAATTCCACTCCTATGTATATACCCAAAAGAACTGAAAGAGGGACTCAAACAAATACTTGTAACCAATGTTCATATCAGCATCATTCACAACAGCCAAAAGGTAGAGAAATAGCCCAACTGTCCATCAACAGATTAAAGGATAAGCAGAATATGGTACGTACATATGATGGAGTACTATTCAGCCATGAAAAGGAATGAAATTCTGACACATGCCACAACGTGATGAAAATGTTAATGCTGTGTGAAATAAGTCAGATACAAAAGGACAAGAATTATATGATTCCAGTTAATATAAGGTAGCTAGAATAGCAAATTGATTGAGCCAGAAAGTAAAATAGTGGCTAGCAGGGGTTGGGGGGAGAAAGTAATGGGGAGTCATTGGTTAATGGGTACAGAGTTTCTATTTGTGATGATGAAAAACTTCTGGAAATGGATCATGGTGATGGTTGTACAACATTGTGGATGTACTTAATGCCATTGAATTGTACACTTAAAGATGGTTAAAATGGTAAAATTTTATATTATGTATATTTTACTACAACTAAAAGAACTCTGATGTCATATAATACTCAAAATCAAACACTTTAAAGGCCCTCTACAATTTGCTTATTTTTCCAAACCTAAATCTTGTATTCAACCTTAAATCATTTCTCTGAACACACCTACAGCTCTGGCCTCTGAGCTTTTGCTCAGGCTATATGGTGTGCCTCTCTTTAAGATTCAGCTTAGAAGATATCTCCACAACACTTTCCAAGTACAGCCCATCACATTAAGTTTTTTCTTCTCATGTCTGTTAGTGTTCTGGACCTCTCGCAGCACTTAGCACGTCCTGTCCTGTGTTAAAACCTGCATCTGTGTCTTCCACAAGACTCTGAGCTAATTCATTCCTTTCCTGTAGTAGGCACCCAATAAATACCGAACTGAATCTAATCCAGCCCTTTGGTTTTGTGGATGGGGAGATTGGAATCCAGAGAATTCACACCGTGACAGAACCAGGACTAGTTTCAAGGTCTTCTGTCTTTAGTTCAGAAATTTCCCCCCTGCACTGACATGCTGACGATCATGCGTCCTGTGGATGGTCAGTCTGTACTGGTGCTGGATAATTCAGTATTGGACTGCAGAACAAATGCCAGGGCCCTGACTATACTTCTTTCATTTGTGTAGAATATTACCTGTTTTATCTGAAACCTTTGTACACCTGAAGACTCTGATATATTTTGTTCTGCTTTCAGCTTTATGTTTCCGGTTGCAGGTGGAATAAGACCCCCTCAAGGTATGTGAAAGCTTGAGTTTTTAACTTTCATTTTTCACTGTTACGTTTCTGAACTGGGGACTAAGTGGGTAAAAAAGTTCTCTTGCTGCCATATACAGTAAAATTTTCTTACAGCCGTAAACCTGTATGAAAGCTACTCTTAAAATTTCTCAAAAATTGTGTAATTTGAGGAATAGTAATGATCATTTCTCATCTCCCAAACTTACAAGCCTTGTGTTGACAGATTGTTACTTAACCTCAGAGATGAAGGAGACTTTCAGGGTTAAAAGAGCAGTAAAGAACAGGTGACAAAAATGAAAAGAGTTGTAGTTCTCTGAATGCCATCTTTCTCCTGTCTGTCTTCTAGACTGTTACTCGATAGGGCGGGGGCTGTGTCTGCCTTAACGCTCATCAGTATCCCTAGTACCCTGCGTGCGGATAGAAGATAATAGGGCCTCTGTGGATGCTTGTTGAATGAATAAATGAACCTCTTTGGTTATTTTATACTTATGTTTTCTCTGTGTGAATTCAGTTTACCATAATCATGTACATAGGAGATCATATAGTCTGATACAGTTTAAACTATTTTAAGTCCGAGTATTATTCGTAGCAGTTTCTCCACTAGGTATATCCCTTCTCTTGGTTTCAGACAAGGACCCACCAGTATCAGTTCTAGCTTTGTCTTCAGGGAAACAGTAGCAAAGGGGTATAATCTTGACTCGTGCTGCTGTGCCTGGGGGACACAACATTGAAGGAAGAATTTGTCTGCCCTTCTCTTCTTTCTGCTCACTTCTCCCCCTCCAGTGTACCCCCTCCCCGCCACAGGCCAAGCTGCTCTGAAAACTGGCCCTTCTCACACAGCCAGTGTTGACTGGCTATGGTAGACTTGCTGGAGAAACAGAGACTCCTAGGCCCCCCCGGGGTGGATGATAAGGAGCGGCTCAGTAGCAGATGGTCAGTGTCTCCATCTGTAATCAGTGATGGAGGTTGAGTTTCAGGTAAATTTTTCCAAGGGTCAGATGCATTCTTTTCATCGTGCTGTATTTATATATTATTTAAGCTATCTGTAATTAGATGTGTCCTAGATTTAGATCAAATGGTTTGAGATGTTCTTTAGGAGGGCGTTACAGTGTTTCGTGTTCATTATTGTGGCTTGTTGTTTTGCATTTTTACAAACTTTCAAGTGCAAATCTACATTTTGAGCAAAGGAACAGGACAAGAAGAGAACCCAAAAGATACTGTTTCTTCTGGAATTTGGAATTGTTTTTGAGATTTTTTTTTTTCACAATGTAAGAGTGGGATTTTTGATCATTTAAATTATGCAGTTATTATTTCTGAAAGCATTCATAAGGAACTGACGGGAAGAATGGCCACAAGATCTTAAGTAGGTGAACAGGAGACAGGAGAGAAACAAGAGTTATTTTTCACTGTGTGTGCTTTCATACCCTTAAGTGTTGTACCAGATCTTTAAGTTATCCATTCAAGAATTAAATAAAATTATGAAAATAGATAAGTCCTTAGGGTCACAGGCCCTAAGAGAAAGAACATCTTACTATGCTACATTCACTCTGCATTCTAATTCCCCATGACACCTCAAGGCCTTCGCATTTGGTGTTCCTTTGTCTAGAATACTTTTCCCACATTTCCACATGGCACACTCCCTCATGTCCTTCAGGTTCTTGCTTAAATGCCACCCTATTAGTGAAACCTTTTCTGCTGTGAAATAGCAACCACTCCTTTCCCTGGCTCTCCCTTTCCCCGATCTCTACCTGACATCCACTGATTTTTTTAATTCTCTGTCTCCCCCAGTTACATTGTAAATTCCGTATGAGCAAAAACCGGTTTTGTTCACTGCTGTGTCCCTAGAATGGTATGTGACATAAAGCATTTGAATAAGTAATTGAATGAATAAATGAATAGCTGGCCACTAATAATTGTTACCTACAAATGTGATGTCCATGCTTCTGAAATTAAACTGTGTAAAAACAACCTTGAAGGTACACAGATTCCATAAGATAAACATGGTATACTTTACCAGACTTTTAATCAATTTTAAATCAAATTTGATTAAAAGTTCCTTACCCTAGGGCCAACATGGATGTAATTTGTGGTACAATGCAAAGTTAGAATGAAATTTGTGTTCAGGCTGTGTAGGGATTTTGTTTTATACCAAGCATCTCAAACTGTGCCTAAAATACAGTAGGCATTTAGTATTTATTAAATCCCTGAAGGGATGTAATCTTCATTTCCCTCTACTCTTGGAAGAGTTTGGGGGGTACTACACTGTAAATGATACTTTCCTGATAGTTTTCCTGCCATTGCATTATATACTTTGCATGCTGATGGCTGTTATATGGTAAATATTATATTAACTATTCATGTAAGGACAGAGAAAAAGAATGTCATTTTTTGAGCATGTTAGGTATTACACAGTTTCATTGTTGAGAAACCGAGGCACAGAAAGAAGTTAAGCAAGTTGCTCAAGGTCTCAAGCTAGCAAGTGACATTTCTAGTTGTCTTCCAGAGTTCATGCTCTTTACTACTTTTGTATTAAAAGTAACTTAATTACCACTAACTCTTAACTACTTTTGTATTAGTTATCTGCTGCAGCATGAAAAATTACTATTTTACACAGTGTCTGTGGGTCAGGTATCTGGACGTGGCCTTACTGGGTGGTTTGGGCTCAGGGCCAAGGCGATTGCAGTAAAGATGTGAGCTAGGGCTACAGTCATCTGTCTAAAGGTTTGTTGGGGCTGGAAGATCTGTTTCTAAGATGGCTCACTCACGCAGATGGCACATTTGTGCTGCCTTTTGGCAAGAGGTTTTAGTTCCTTCCCACGTGGATTCTCCATAGGACTGCTTGAGTATGCTCATGGTGTGGCCGTGGCTTTCCCCAACAGGTGATCCGAGAGAGCAAGGAGGAAGCTGCAGTGGTTAGCAGGAACTAGCCTTGGAAGTCACACACTGTCATTCCCACAGTATCATACTGGTTATTACTGGTCAGCCCTAGTCAGTGTGGGAGGGAAGGACAGGGGTCTGAATACCAAGAGGCAGAGATCACTGGGGGCCATCTTGAAGGCCAGTTAGGCCGCGTTGTTAATTATTCAAGTACGCAGAAAAGTTCTGTTGAACAGGTAGTGTTCTCTTCATTTTACAGATGAAGTTTTGTAACTTGCCCAGATCACATAGCTTAGTTAATGACAGAATTCACGCTCAGGTCTGTTTCATTCCAGAGCCTGTGCCTTTCCCTCTGTCCTGTGCCACCTCCCAAGTAATGAGTCCTTTAGGCAGTTATGCTTTTAAGAATATATACTTTAAAACACATTGACCTTAATGATATCTTTCTTCTTCAGCAGGTTTGATGCCAATGCAGCAACAAGGATTTCCTATGGTCTCTGTCATGCAGCCGAATATGCAAGGCATGATGGGCATGAACTACAGCTCTCAGATGTCCCAGGGACCTATTGCCATGCAGGTACTTGCCTGTTTAGCTGATGTTTACAAAGTTACCGTTTGTAGTATGTTGTTACATAATAAGAGGCACATACTAGGAGCTTAATGCTACCTTTAAAAATAAGTGTTGTCTGCATCTCAGGTGGCTTCCTTCAAAATCAAACAAAAAATACATTCACAAGGGTGAAAAAAGATAAATCATTTAAGGAAAATCCGGTGACTTATGTATCTGACTCCTGACTTGGAAGAATTTTAGAATGACGTCTTGGAAAATTCAGGGACTCGATGCCGTGAAGTAGCATTGTTAGGAGAAGTAGCACTGTTCTCACGAAAGGAGCCATGGCATTGTTTGCAAGGCTCAGAGCCATCTTTATATTGGATTATTTTATCTAATGCCCGTAACATCTTTTTAAAGAGTTTTTCTGATGGGGAAACTGAAACTTTATAAGGCTATTCACAGAGCGTAGTTAACCAAGATTTGAATGTAAGTCTTCGGTAGATCTATTCTTAACCACATTATACATTGAATTCTCTCTTGAGAGCATTAAGGAGCCGTTGCTTAGTTTCAAGCAGTGGAATGTCACAATCAGATTTGTATTTCAAAAAGATCATTCTGAGTGCTGATTGGAGAATGATTGGAAGGACAGAGGAGAGCAAAAGTGGGTGAAAGAAGAATCAGAGGCTGATGTAGTAAGAGCCGGTGAGATGTTGGCTTGATTTAAGGTGGTGGCAGGTGGATGCAGATATGGATGTTTTTGAGAACTGCTTAGGAAGTAAAATCCATAGGACTTGCTGAAGGATTGGATGCTGGAAATAAAGGTGAAGGTGGTATCAAATTGATTCTTCATTTTCTGCATGAGCAACTAACTGGTGGTGTCATTTATTAATGAGAGTAGCACTGGAAGAGATTGTTACATATTGTTGACTTTCAAGGACCCATGAAACATCCAAGTGGGCCTGTCCAGAGACCATTTAATCAGCTGACCTGGAGCTCAAGATTTTTCACTGTGGGTTGAAAATTACAATTTTGGGGATCATCCACATGTAGAAGGTAGTTGATGCCATAGGGGTGAACAGGAACATCCAAGAACACTGTCGATGGAGAAAATAGTCCAGGGTAGAGCCTTGAGGATTTCAGTGTTTAAATCTAAGGGAGTTGCCAACAGAGGAGACTGAGGAGGAGCAGACACAGAAGAGGGTAGGGTTGGGGGTTGGGGAGATGAAAGAAAAAAACATGGGTTTTGGTGTCAGACCTAAATTCAAATCCCAGCTGTGCCACTTACCTGTAAAACAGGAATGTAGTAATACCTTGCCAGTACAGTTAGAGGAAGAACTGAATGAAGGAGTTCTATGAAGCACTTGGCATTGTATCTGGCACACAGTGAGCAGAAATGGGCAAGAAGTTTTTATTTCTTATGTTAATGTTAATATCAGGAATGATCTTTCAAGTGGCATGACATTATTTCATGTTCTGTTTTAATATTCGTCTGACTATGTTTCCATGCTTTCATTGGCTCACAACCACCATTTCTGGTTGAAACATTCTTTCTTGAATAATGTTAGTAACCAGTAATAATAATAACCACCATTTGTTGTTTACATGTGCTGTATTCATTGTATGCATTATATTATTCAGTCCTCATAACAACTCTATCAGATAAGTAATAATTTTATTCCCATTTTATAGATAACAAAACTGCAGTCAGAGATTCAATGTCCTGTTCAGTGTCGCACAATTTATTTCAGAGCAGAGAGTGAAATCAAAGCAATCTTATGTTTTAGAGCCTGAGTTCTTAACTATTAGCTTCCCAAACTTCTGTAATTTGAGTATCACCCTCATGATTTTTGCCATATACTATTTAATTAACATTTTAATTGATTTAGTTTTTAACAAATTCTTAAAGGAATCTTTATCTTGCTAAGTAAATAGGAAACCTCATTTGTTATAAACCAAAATATAAGTATGATGAATTGAAACAATATTACCAATTCTAACTACTGTTATTTATTCAAGTTTATAAACCTCATGTTTACTTTCTTTTTGTTTAAAAAAAAAAAAAGGAAATTATGTCTTATGTCTACAATTGACCTGCACATGGTTCATTTCAGAAGAAGAAAAAAGAGCACATGCATGTTGTACAAACAGAGCAAATAGGGCAAAATGTTAATATTCTTTTTCCAAATTTTCCCAAAGTTTCCACTTTTAGAAAAGGGAGGAATTAGGTAAAAATCAATAACACTTAAAATTAGCCATAATGAGAATCTGAGAGAGAATTGCAGGAGAATTGGAGAGAATTTTCCTGTCATCGTGCTGAGCGTGTCCCTGCATAACTGGTCATGATCATAGATAGTGTGGATAAAAGCAAATAATGTTTATTGTTTTTTTAAGAATTGGTGCATGAAATCAGTATATCATGATTTAATAAGTGCAGCCTGAGTAACTGGCTTTATCCACATCCATTTGGATCTCCATATCTTTGTAAATCATCTTTTTCAGCCATGATGTCCAGTTAAACCGAGTAACCAAATAAATTAAATCCAGGAGTTAGATCTTTGGCTGAATCCAGAGTATTGTTAAAAAAAAAATTCACAAATAAGCCAGAACAAAAGGGTTTTTGTACTATTAATATTTTAAATACTGTATATTTCGTTTTTACCTAATTATTTAAATTTTTCTTTTTCTACGTTTTATCATGTATACAATATGTTAAAACAATCGCACCTGTGTATAATTTATAAATAGATAATGTTAGGAGTTGACAGTCAGAATTTAAGTTGAAACCATTGTCATGTTGAAGTCATTTAAGCAACTGAAGCTTCTATGTTGTATGTAAAGATTTAGGGAAATTTCCAAATCGTTCTGTATTCATTTCTAGTAGAAAGAAAATGGGAATAAATTGAGCTTTTGTAGGTTTTTACATCCAAGTTACTCAGCTTTCTCTAGGTTGTACTGCATAAACAAAAATCCCCAAATCTCAGTGACTTAGAAAAACAAAGGTATATTTCTCATTTGTGAACATGTCGTTTGTGGGTTTGCTTGATTTAGCTCCATATTCTCTTTATCCTGAGACCCTTACCTAGGACATCTCAGACTCTTGGCATTAATAAAAAGAGATAGCCACACCCTGTGGTGTTCTTTAAAGCTTTCTCTCAGAGGTAGGATTTATCAGTCACTTATGCTCACAAAGTAACGTGGCCCAAACGAACATCAGCGGGGGAGTATACCAGGAGGGAGTATACGCCACGTAGCGGTGTGTCATCATTTCAGTAAGGGCAGCCAGTAATTGGAAACAATCTACCATAGAATGCAGTGTGTTTCTAAGATTTAGTAAGCTTACCGCTGAATCTGAATAACAGCTGATACTGTTTTTAAATCTTTGATTTTCACACTAAACATTGTTTCATGACCCGCGTAATTATCTGAAAAATGTTTTTAAAGAGTTTGAAATAACCAAAAACAATAAGGATCTCTAACACAGAGAACAACAATAAAAAAGTGAACTTTCAGATTTGCTAACCCCCACATCATTTCCCTGAGTATCAGGAACTTAGAATTAATGGTTCTAAACCAAAATCTTTTTCTTTACCCTTTAATCTTACTGACAGGCATTACACTACTTGGAAGCTGCTCACTATTCTTAAAGGAGAAATTCATTCAGATCTTATTTTTTTCCCCCCAAACTTAATATCCTTAACCAACCACAGACATGTATGAGGAAAACCCATTATTCTTTAGCGATCACTTAAGTCTTTGAAGGGGGCACTTCCAGATATCAAGATGAAAATTAGTCTTGGTTGCTGCATAGCTCTCCACTCCCAAAAACTCATGAAAAGAAAAGATTTAGAATAAATTTTAAAGTTATTCTTACAATATTTCAAGTACGTAGGTAAGAACAGAATATATTGGTGAAAAACTCAAAAGCTTCCCACTAAAATCTGGGACAAGACAAGACTGCCCACTATCACCACTCCTATTCAACATAGTCCTGGAAGTCCTAGCCACAGCAGTCAGGCAAGAGAGAGAAATAAAAGGGATCCAAATTTGAGAAGAAGAGGTAAAAGTGTCACTATATGCAGACGACATGATACTATATATAGAAAATCCTAAAAGGTCCACACAAAAACTACTAGAAATAATCGAATTCAGCAAGGTAGCAGGTTACAAGATTAACATTCAAAAATCAGTTGCATTTCTTTACACTAATGATGAATCAACAGAAAAAGAAAGTAATGAAACAATCCCCTTTAAAATAGCACCCAAAGTAATAAAATACCTAGGAGTAAATCTAACCAAGGAGGTGAAAGACTTATACACAGAAAACTATAAAACACTGATGAAGGAAATTAAAGAAGACTTAAAAAATGGAAAGATATCCCATGCTTCTGGATTGGAAGAATCAGTATTGTTAAAATGGTCACACTGCCCAAGGCAATCTACAGATTTAATGCAATCCCTATCAAATTACCCAGGACATATTTCACAGAACTAGAACAAATCATAGTAAAATTTGTATGGAACCACAAAAGACCTAGAATTGCCAAAGCATTACTAAAGAAAAAGAGGCTAGAGGAATAACTCTCCCAGACTTCAGACAACACTACAGAGCTACAGTAATCAAGACAGCATGGTATTGGTACAAAAACAGACTTATGGACCAATGGAACAGAATAGAGAGCCCAGAAATGAATCCACAAACTTTTGGTCAACTAATCTTCGACAAAGGAGGCAAGAATATACAATGGAATAAAGATAGTCTCTTCAGCAAATGATGTTGGGAAAACTGGACAGCAGCATGTAAATCAATGAAGCTAGAACACTTCCTTACACCATACACAAAAATAAACTCAAAATGAATCAAAGACTTAAACATAAGACAAGATACAGTAAACCTCCTAGAGGAAAATAAAGGCAAAACATTATCTGACATATATCTCAAAAATGTTCTCCTAGAACAGTCTACCCAAGCAATAGAAATAAAAGCAAGAATAAACAAATGGGACCAAATGAAACTTACAAGCTTC